ACGTCACTATAAGGGATTAGAGCATACTAAACAATACACATTATATAGGCTACAATAATTGACATTTAGGCAGTTTATTTAACTGTTATACGTGATGTACGTTTTTTGGGAGGTGGTTAATGAAAGTGTTCCAAAACGAGACATTAATTTCTTGACGACCTGATACTTTTCCTGTTGAATGTGCCCTAGTGGTTAGCATGACTACCTGTGAATCTGAGGATTTATGGTCCATTACCTTTTGTCACACACATGTGCTCCATGCTTTGTAGTTGTAGATGCATTGGATCTGTGAAACTTCAGTTGTAGGGCTATCTTGACAAGGGCTTTAGCAATTATTTAATTTTATAATCAGTGATTAGTTTACTGGACATAAAAACTAATCAATTGGAATAATAAAAACAATGAATTTAAACTGTTTCATGGCCAGAATTTTAAAAGGAATTGCCAAATCAAAATAATTTTTAGGTTGTCTTAGATTTTGGATGTTATTTTACATTCTAATCACCTGGAAATTGTGGAAAACGTTTTTGCATTTTCTAAAAATAATCGTTTTATAAATTTTTTTAGCATACACTTTACTTCACTGCTTGACTTGTGACAATTAACAATTATGAAGCAATGTAACTCATATGTTTTTATTCCTGTAATTAATTGTAACAATTCAGTGTTAATCACTGTGAACAGTGATTGTGGATGTGCAAGATGCACTCCATGACAGTAGTTGTTCATGAAAACTGATAAGATAAATAACACCTAGACTACTGCTGTGTACACCACATCATAGTTGACATGATGAGGCCTGGTATTGTGCAAAAGGCCTCATTAGCACTGGATATGACAAATGTAATGTGGTTGATATATTATAACATATACTTCCTTGCTTTCACTCATAAGTTTTTAGAATTAAAAAGCATTAAACCCATTTCTGTTCAAAGAAACCCATTCCCATATATATGATAATGTCCAAAAGACTGAACATTGATGTTGTTGTTTTCCTTCATGCTTATTTGAATGCAAAATCACCCAACATGTTAGGCCTAGGACTAGGTGTGGTTTATGAATGAAATGCAAGTGAATTGTCAATTGGCTACCTAATTTTCTTAAAAACTGTCAGTAAATGGGTTAGGTAATTGTAGGGAAAATTAAAACTGTAACTAGTCAATTATTGGTAATTGATTAATCAGCAATCAGTCAATTTTTGTATCAACACATTCATAGTCTTATTAATACTGTCATAAGTAGCAGCTGCCACAAAAAAAAACATCTTTTATATTGCTATATGACAATAGTCATCTCATCCCTGAGGGCAGTTTTAACTGAGTAGTATGATAAATTAAGCTGTAGAAGTTTGTTTCAGCAGATGACCTAGTGTATTGTTGGAAGGAAGGTACTGTGTTGTGTGTTGATAGCCTAAGGCCACTGTCTTGCATGTTAACATTTTGCAGAAGTTGTATTGACAGCTTGAGAATGCTTTATAGTAGGTTCAAGAATGAAGATAGTGGTTATTTACTTGGGGTACAAGTTCTGGTAGTTTAGCTATTAGAGTATACACTGTAAGTAAATGAGTATTGGCTTCAAGCTACTAATGTTAAGTCCAAATTTAGGCAGATTTCTTAACACTGACAGATATATCACCATTTCCATCTTGTCTACCCACTTAGACATATGTTTTATAAGTCTGAGATAAGTCAGTTAGGTGCTGATAAGAATGTTTTAGTTTTGTAACTTTACGTATTTTGATATGTCATTACAATACCACTGCTTGCTTCAGATATTTTATGCAGTGGCTCATAATGTACATGAGATAGGAAAACAAAGGGTCACTACAATTATGAATAAAATATACCTGATTATGTGTGCCTCAAAGTATTTATATTCTGGTACAGAGACAAGTATCATTATAAAAAAGGTAGCAGTTGCATGCTGATCAGCCAATTCTAGCCATATGCATTTGTTAATTACTTTCTTTACTAATGCTAGAAGTGTTTACAAATAGTTTTTTGTAATGATTTACTAGATACTACTTTTAATGTTTTATTTGATAGGATAGAATACCTTTTCAGTAAATGCTACAAAACTGACATTTTCAGGGTCTTTGGCTTTCCAAGACACTATACTGATGCAGGAAATATCCCACTTGGTCGACGTCAGCAGTTGCTTGGGAAAGCATGGAGTGTACCTGTGATCAAACACCTTTTCACACCATTGAAGAACTTTTTCAAACTTGTGCCATCATCATTATCATCACCAACCACCATATCTACAATAGTTACCCCCATTGCTACAACAGGTAACACTGTTGTCATGCCAGCATCTTCCTGAGTAAAATGGGGTTCAGTAGTTATCTAATTAAAATAACACTTTTTCTTTTTTTTGAATTCTGAATTAAAGTATGTGTCAGTCTCTGTTCATATACACATTATGTATATAGTTTTAGAACTGAATTGTTATGTTACATCAGTGTTTTTATTCTGTCTCTAATAAGAATTATGCCTAATCACAGCAGTACTGGGGAATATCCCTGTTTTTACACTGCCATTTTAATCATTAGCCTTTTCTGATTTTTGTAAGCTATTTTTATCTTTTAAAGGTTTCACTTGCATTTTTTTTTACATTCAGACTGTTTCTTGTGAAAATATGATAGCAGTCTGGTACATCGAATTCAAATCCATATCTGATAAAAAAATCTACATTACTCTGACCACAAGCATAAAATCTCATGTTAACAAAGGAAGTAAGTAATGGCCTTTGTTATTACTTCTGGAACCAATTATTCGGGATTGCATTGTAGACACTTATATATTAGATGAACAACTATCTTCTTTCCTGTACAAATATGGCATTTTCTTTGCTTTTATTTGGGTATGAATATTCCATTATCTTCAGTAAACTTTAATAATAATTTTTCTTTTACTTTAATTTTTATGGAAAATAAACAAACAGTTATCTCTTACAATTATTAGACTTCTTAATTAAATATGATTTTATGGAAATATCATTGTATTAAGTGAACAAAAAATATTTTCATCATTCCTGTTGTAAGAGATACTTAGACTTATAAGATTTCTACATCTAATAACTGCTTATCTTTCTCATTGAAAGCAAGTACTAACTCTACTAGTTCCCATCATTATCGTCAGAATAAAACAAACTTTTCAACAAACTAATTAATTTAAAGATTTATGTGTTATTTTTTCTTGTTTTAATTGAAAATATTAATCTGTAAAATCGAAAGGATTAGCTGAATTATTACAAACAGAAAATTTATTTATAATTCTGGTTTTACTTCCCTCAGTTGTCTCAATTACATTTTGGGCAATTGGTAAAGAAATTAATATAAACTGTAATTATGTTTTCTTTCTATATTTTCAATTATCTTTTGTTAGATACCTATTTCTAAAAAAATTAAAAGGGTACGAAAAAAATTTGGTGTTATGTTACAAAAATTAGAAGACCAAATTTGTATCATCTCAAAATTATTCGATACCCACAAAAACCTACAAAATGGCTTTGTAATCTACAGTCACGGCACTTTGAAATGAGAGAAACAAAATCTTTTGCAATAGCCTTTATTCAGGTTCCTAACCAAAGAAGGTTTTATGCATTCATATTTATTGCTTTTTCAAATTATTTTTTGGGCAAAACAGTTCAGTGCAATGTGAGATTGTTACTCTGTCTCAGTAATAGTATTCGTCTGTGCAACAAAACTCACATGGAGACATAGTAGGGGTACGCACTTAGAAACAAAGTGTAACAGGTATAGGGCCCCCGTATCATTATTTTAACCCTAGTTTTTTAGTCATCTCAGTAGTTTTATAGTTTACAAGAAAGTTTATATTTTAGCTCTTTTATCGAATTTTTTAATTAACTAATTTTTTTAAATATATATTAGATTTATTTTCTTTTTCACCATAGGTGAAAATGGAAAGAGAATCTGTGATGTAGAGGCCTAATGCACAATATTATATGGTGAAGTAAAACCTCATAGATATTATTTCGTTTTTCTTTTATTTATCATAGAGTATTATAAACATACTTAAACGTATTTAGACGGACTTTTTTCCTGAATTACTGACTTAGAATAGAAATATGTAATTGCTACTAATATTGGATTCTAGTTCACAGAGTCTTTTGCTAAATAATTCAGTCATTACATTCCGCCTTTATCTAACTTAAATAATTCAATTATTATATTCCACCTAAGTCGATTACAAATCAATCTTAGATAGAGGGCGCCCACAGAAATATTTTCGGGGGGAGGGGAGGCAAAACATGTATGTAGAGGATCAGCTTTTACAATTTAAGTCAGTAGACTAAAATAATGTGTTATGTGTGTTTAACTCAAACACAAATTTACAGTTCTAATAAAAATTACTAAAAATATTTAGTTTAACTACGATATTAATTTACGTCATAATACGTGCAATTTTTTAAATGTAAGAAGGACAAATGCCCTCTCTTGTCCCTTCCTGCGGACGCCCATGAGAGGGCGCCGAAATATTCGAGTATTGAAATGTTTGTTTTTAAAGCCTTTTGTCAAACGGTATTTACAGTTGTTTTACAAACTGCAAAAATATATAATAGGCATTAAACTCAAGAAGCGTACCTTATTTCAGGGTAACTAATTCTTAAATATTGCCTTTTTCGTCGTTTTCTTGACATTGGGCTTCGTGTGGTTATAAGTGTAGGTCCTGAACAATTAGCTTAATTGGTTTGCGCATAAGAATAACGTGCCCCATATTATTAAGAAACTTTTGGTTAATGTTGTTATACGTTATTGACTTAAAAGTGAAGACCCGTTCCTGTTATTTCCATTCTTTTTCAGAATTATGCATTTGTTTGAATAAAGGAATAATTTATCCAAACATAATTGTTATTAATAACATAGATTTAGGATAAATGTGGCTAATTTTGGCAGAATGTTTTAATAAAAATTGGTAGTGTCATGTATTTTAGAAATATATCGAATTTCCTATAGCAAGTTATGGAATGTACTTATAAGTGTTTTGCAACAATATTAATACTTAGACTTTTATAAATATTGTGTTAGGTAG